GTTGTATACCTACAATGTACCAATAAAAGAATTTAATAAAGTGAAAAAAATAAATAAATAAAAAGATGAGCCAGGCGTGGTGGCACATGCCTGTAATCCCAGCACTTGGGATGCTGAGGCAGGAGGATCACCTCAAGTTCAAGACCAGATTGAACTATATAGGGAGACTCCGTCTCAAAAGAGCAAACCAAGTTTTGTATTAAGTCTCAGTGCTGCCCCCCAAGAGCTCACAGGCTGGTAAGCGTCATCTTCTCCCTGCCTACCGAGTGGACACAACTATTTCCTCCCAACAAGTGATGCCCTAACGAGGCAAAGAGAAGACTTTTGCATACCTGGTCATGGATGAGCCCATGGTAGAGGATGCGCTGCATGTCCCTGCAGAGCCGCTCCAGGCCACCATACTTGGACCAGACGTTGGGGCTGTTGGCTGACACCAAGCCCTCCACAGTGGTCTTCAAATTGCCCAGCAGCTGCCAGTGCTCCCGCCTGCAATTACAGCATAGTTGGTTAACTTTATGGTACCTGATCTTGATCATATCAGAGGAAGTCTAAGTCAAGGAGTCTCCTGAGCCACGTGCTAATATTGTCCCCATTAAAGTTTCATCTGGGCAGAAGACTCAACTATGAGAGGATAAAAGTTGTACAGAAAACTAAAATTAAAAACAAACCAAAACTCACATTTACACAGTACATTATGCTTTGCACATTATTTCATCTACCACCTTATTCAATCCTCACATAGGTAGTCTACAACTCTGTTTTTAGGAGTGTGATGCATCAGGACCAGAAATCTTTTTTTCATCTTGTTTTGTTTTTGAGACAGAGTATCACTATGTAGCCCAGGCTGGCCTTGAATTTACTATGTAGCCCAAGCTGGCCTAGAACTCATAGCAATCCTCCTGCCTCAGCCTCCTGAGTGCTGGGATTATAGGCATGTACTGGCTTAGAACCAGAAATCTTATACTAAAGAAAAAAGCCAAAACACCATTTTTTATTCACTATGTTTCCAAGCACTAAGAATAGGATAGGGAAGGATGACAGAAAGTGCTTTTATATACTGACACACAAATATTATAGATAAGAATACAGATTATCCATAATTTTTTTAATCCATGATTTTTTAAGCTAAAATTGAGACAAATCTGTTTCAAGTTTGCACTAACCCTCTTTGGGTAACACTTCAGAGCAGTCGACTACCAACTCGTCACCTAGAACAGTGATGGCAAACCTTTTAGAGACCGAGTGCCCAAATTGCAACCCCAAACCCACTTATTTATTGTAAAGTACCAATGCTGCAATTAAACCTGAATACTTACTGGCCGTGCAAAAGCTTGGAGAAATCGCAGCTCGTAACATCGTCTCCTAGTGCCCCTACTCCTTTGGAGCATGCGCATGGCCCAGATGTGCACTGTTACAGACACTTGGCGGCAGGGTGATACTGGAGCATCCTTGTCTAAGTTGCCCAGGCTGGCCTCAAATTTGAGGTCCTTTTGACTCAACTTCCTGAGTAGTTAGGTACAGGCATATGCCACTGTGCTCTGCTAGAATCCTTTCTATCAAAACTCAAAACTAATCTCTTTTGCACATTTTCTAAGCTATTCTAAGAAAGTGGATGAGTGAAGCCAGGTATGGTGGCACACACCAGTAATCCCAGCACTCAGGAGGCTGAGGCAGGAGGACCGCTATAAGTTTGAGGCCAGCCTGGGCTACATAGTGAGTTCAAGGCCAGTCTAAACTACACAGTGAGACCCTGTCTCAAAAAAAAAAAAAAAGTGGATGTGTAAAGTAAAGGCAGACAATAAAATCCACAAATAAAATTAACAATAGATATGGCACAGCAGTGTCATCTAGTATATGTGCTGCCGAAGCAAGCACATACAGTGTCATCTAAAACTGGAGCTCCAGACAGATCTCACTTTGGGTTTTTTGTTCTAAGGGGTTGTGATCAAGAATGCATTTGAAGGCTAGAGATTTAGCTCAGTGGTTTTGCCGCCTGCTGGGCAAGAGCAAGGACCCAAGTTCGATCCCCGGTACCAAAAAAAAAAAAAAAAAAAAGAATGCATTTGAAGCCGAGTGTGGTGGCATACACCTATAACCCTAGCTGTGAGTTCAAGGCCAGCCTGAACTACATAGGCTCTGTCTGAAAAAAACAAAGAATGCATTTGAATTTGGAGACATCAAGTATTCATAACCCTATTTCATTTAACATCAGAGGCAACAGACTTCTCTTGCTCTATTTCTATGCCAGATCTGGGAGGCATCAGAAGACAACTACAATCCACATGGGAACAAGGTGGTCCATGGGAACAAGGTGGTCACCACAGTGTCATTTATTATCATACTGCGAGAAACTGCCATCATAGGGGTCAACTCTGCTAACTTTTGCTCAATGGTTCTGCAACTCCTACATGTCGTCAGGGCTAACGCTCTGGTCTAGAGCACTGCCACGGTGCACATTTCAAAAGGCTACCGGCAAGTCTTTCTGGACTTAGAGCCAGTCTGGTTCAACAGGTGACGCTGCATATCTGTGGTGTGATGTATCCTATATTTACCTTATAATGTTCACTGTCTGAGGATAAATTACAAAAGCAGACATCAAACACCCTATCATTCCAGGGCTTTGCTTCCAAAATTATACAAAGAACACTGGAATCCTAGAAACTTTGGGCATCAGATCTAATAACTTCTTCTCCCCATGATAAAGTGTCTCTGAGATCCCAAAGCTACAAAAGAATGTGGCTCTTATTCGACAATACACACCAAAGAGTCTATATTTGGTATATGCCCATATAGAAGAAAAGGAGACCTTTTTAAAAAACTTAAGGGGATGAAAAAAAATTGAAATGTGTTATGTACCTGTACCAACTCCCCACCATGAATGTAATCATTATGTACTGCAAATATGTACTAATAAAAATGAAAATTAAAAATTGATTTACATAGGGAATCTGTTCGTGTCTTCACCATTTTCAGATTCTCTGTCCTATTGGAACACTGATCACTGTCAGAGAGTTAAGATACTCAATTCAGGGGGCTGGGGATTTGGTTCACTTGTTCCACCGCCTGCCTTCCAAGCACAAGGACCCAAGTTCGATCCCCGGTACCAAAAACAAAAGATACTCAATTCAACCGAAGCCCATCGACAGTGCTTGGATTAATCCATTCCTCCCTGAATCCTAGATGCAAGTAAACAGATTATGGAGAATAGATCATGTATCTCTGTCCTATTCTTTCACATTTTCAGCAAATGAGGACAATTTGCCAAGATTACGAATGTCTGGTCACAATTCTGTGGATGGCCTTACCCTGCACGCACATGTAACCTTTCCCTGGGCACATTTGAAGCCTCTGAAGGATATTTAGGCTAAGAGGAGCTCTTAGGAGAGACACTTTTGCACATAATGGTCCCCCTTTTTCATCTTTTTTTTTGGGGGGGTACGGGGGATTGAACTTGGGACCTTGTGCTTGTGAGGCAGGTGGCGGAACCACTGAGCTAAATCCCCAGCCGACCCCTTGGTTCATCTTAAATTAAAAGCATGTCTTCCTAAGGCCCTTACCCTGCCAAGGAGGAAGTGACTTGATGGCGGGAGACAGCATAAATCCCATCGCCACGTGAATCATTTTCATCACTCACAAGGAAGCCTATCTCAGAATAAAGCCCACCTATTTTCTTCTGGGAAGATTCTGACTTCATTCCTCCTTTATGTAAGGAGGAATTGCTTATATAACTCAGTTTTCATAAATGCTAACTCAGTGTTAAGCTTTCCAAATCACAATAAGAAGTGACACTCAAGAATAAAGGCTACAAAAAAAAAAAAAAGAATAAAGGCTACAAATTTTTTTAAGTTGTTCACCATATAGTTAAAAATAACTAATCACTAAAAATAACTTAAATACATAAATAAGTGAAAGTACTATGCATGAGGGTCAATGTGAGAAATATATTTGGTGAATTATTCACCACCAGATGCTCTCCTTAGTAGAAAAAGGAAACAGTTCCGGTTTATTGCCATAACCTCCCACACGGTGCCAGGAATCTAGAACAGGTCAAGTATTATCTGAGATCACAGCTGAAGGTCAGGTTGTACCAGTCAAGTAATGATTTGCTGCCTGAAATAGGGGAGAGAGATATGATAACCACACAATGAAATTCCACACGCATAAAAGGACTGAAATTTTTGATTAAACAGCTTCTAAGGTTAAATAGCACATTGAAGTATTAAAAACAAATATAAAGTTACCTTTATGATCTCAACATAAAAATTCTGAAAAAAAAATACACTCATTGTGGTTACCTCTGGTGAGAGGAGGCCAATGTAGAGAAAAGGGGAACTGTTAATAAAGCAGCAATGCTCAAACAAGAAACTGGAAAGCGCCATACAAGAGTTTTTAAATGCCGACATGTCAAGAGCTTCATATGCTGAAAGCCTGCGGTCAGGCAAGCCTCTGGGACTTGAAGTGCCAGAAAGCACTTCCTGGAAAGAAGTAATGGGTTCCTCTTCAAGAAAGAGAAAAACATAATGAAAAAGAATAATTATTGGTAATACTGAGGTAGCGAGACTTCCACACTTAATTTGTGTTTAATATTTCTTCTTATCTGGCTATTTTTCAATTTTATAGTATTTAACTTGTAGATATACAGTTTATTTATGCTGCTTTTTAAATGAATAATATCATCACAGAAAAAACATCCTTGACTTCATGATGGAGTCTCTTGGCTCCGGGACACCCAGGGGCACCTAACCACTGCCAGGTGCTGCCCCCTAACGGCACACAGTGGACTCTTCATACCCAGCAGGAGATAAGGAGGACACACAGGCACGCTGCCTAAGAAATGTGCCTCACCAGCACAGTGAATTTAGGTGACACTGAGTTTACTGTATTTCAACAATGAGCAGAGTTAACAAAGGGTGGGAGAATTCCTTATCCAAGAATTACACTAGCCACAGAGGACATGCAGACTTCTCAGTACAGATTCAAATATTCTCCATCATCTGGCCCCAGTCAAAACACCAACTTTCCTGCCCAGTGTTCCTCGATGTGAACCGAGTCTACTACCTGGCTCTGTGACGCCCATGGCAGCTTCACTCCTCCTCCTGTGACTCTGTCCCTGCAGACCTGTCCCATTGTGAATCCCTCTCTCAGAACCCTACACCCATGCTGTCAATGTCCGTCCTCCTCATACTATGAAAATTGTTCATTAATGGCATGTCTTGTTTCCTTAAGGAGAGGAGCCGTGGGTTTTTTCTATTTCCTTTTTTTTTTTTTTTTTAATAAAAAGTAGCAAGAAAAAATGGCATGCAGTGGGAAAAGAATAACCACCACAGGGCCGGGGATTTAGCTCAGTGGTTTTGCTGCTTGCTGCGCAAGCGCAAGGACCCGAGTTCGATGCCCAGTACCAAAAAAAAAGAATAAACATCACAGTCAAGTGACTCTTAGCTCTCTATAAATTAGATGTGCATTCTTTAGTTTCAGTTCCCTTGTAA